AAGAAAAAGCAAATAATAACATGTGGCTGGCCTATTTACTTAAGAGACTCGTCTTGATGTTCCTATGATAAACGTAGCTAATAATAACCATACGTGTGGTGGGCATATCTGTACCTCCCCACCCAGCCCACAATAACCCCCTTAACTTCCTCTTGCATCCACGTCACACAAAACAGCCCTGAACCCTTGGCCACAGGAGACTGGACTGGGGAGACAAGCGGACCATGCTGGACCATCAGTTCCTCTGCCCTCTGAACTGAGAATTGATATCTCGTGACAGAGAGTTAATCTGTCCCCAGGATGCTTGGGAATGTGGGCCAGGCACCTTCTGTCTTCCACGTGAACCTGAAAAGGAGAGGAAGCCTGTCTGTGGGAAAACAGAAAGATGAAGCCAGAATCAGAGAGAGAGGGAGGGAGGCTATGGCCCCTTCCCAAGGCCCAGTTGCATATTCCAAGTGTCTTTAAAGGATGTCCGCTATCCTAGCTTAAGGTCTCTCATGTAGGCTCCTTTTACCAGCAATCAGAACGACTCCAATGAATAAAGTGATCATATGCTAGGGATTGTTTCATGTACTTTAAAGACATTTTTTTATTTTAATCCGTACAATCATGCAAGGTAGATATTATTTCTATTTTCAGATGAAGGAAGTAGAGGCTGCTGGCTGCTCATAGGCAGGCGTTGTGGTTGTGTGATCAGTTTAGGTAAAAGGCCGTGGGCCAAGGTTTCATTCGTTGTGAGCCTCCTGTCTGCCTCCAGCCCAGACACCAAGAGTGTCCAGCATGGAGTCGAAGTCCCTTAGGGGTTGCTTGTCTGTTTTGGGTGGAGGCAGTGGGCAGTTGGGAGGTGGAGCTTGTGGTTCCCATCCCCAGCAGGGGTGGCTTATCAGCCCAGTGCATGGCAGCCGGCAGGAGGGGGAACCCCGCAGCTGGGGGGCTGTGTGTGCACACTGGTGAGGTGGGGGCTCCAGGTGCTGCTGAGGGTCTGCACTTGCCCGGAGATTATCACTGCCCCAGGGAGTGTGACGTTCCATAGCGAATGAAAAAACAACATGACAGGCTGAGAGAGCAACCACAGAAGAAAAAAAAGTTTCACACTTCAGTATGTTTAAAGGCACTTTCTTTCCCCTTATAGATAAGGAGCCCTGGAGTTTCATTTTCTCATGGGCCCCACAAAATATGTAGTTGGCTCTGATTTGGTTAAATTAATTTTCATAGTAAATCATGAACTGAGACTATTCCTTGTTTCCTGATATTTGTGTTTTAAAAGGTTTTTATATTTTAAAGGATTAAGGCTAATAGAGAGGGATGAATACAGGCATACCTCAAAAATTGTGGGTTCGGGTCTAGACCACAACAATAAAGCCAATACTGCAATTGAATTTTGCAAGTCACGTGAATTTTTTTGGTTTTCCAGTGCATAGAAAAGTCATGTTTACACCATATTGTGTTCTGTTGAGTTTGTAATAGCATTATGTCTGAAAAAACAATGTACATTCCTTAATTTAAAATACTTTATTGCTAAAAAAAATGCTAAAACTCATCTGAACCTCCAGTGAGTTGTAATCTGTTTGCTGGTGGAGGGTCCTGCTGCCTCCATGTTGATGGCTGCTGGCTGATCGGGGTGGTGATTGCTGAAGGTTGGGGTGGCTGTGGTAATTTTTAAGAAACAAGACAATAAGGAGGTTTGTCACATCACTGGACTCTTACTCTCACAAAAATATTTCTCTATAGCATGTGGTGCTGTTTGATAGCATTTTACCCGCAGTAGAACATCTTTCAAAATTAAAGTCGGTCCTCTCAAACCTTTTCGCTGGTTTATCAACTAAGTTTATGTAATAGTCTAAATCCTTGGTTGTCATTTCAATAATGTTCACAACATCCTGACCAGGAGTAGTTTTCATCACAAGGAACCACTTTCTTTGCTCATCCATAAGGAGCAACTCCTCATCCATTCAAGTTTTATCATGAGATTGCAACAATTAAGTCACATCTTCAGACCCTACTTCTAATTCTACTAATCTTATTATTTCCACCACATCTGCAGTTATTTTCTCCACTGAGTCTTGAACTCATCAAAGTTAGCCATGAGGGTTGGAGTCAAATCTTTCTAATTCCTGTTGATGCTGCTATTTTGACCTTCTCCCATGAATCATAAATGTACTTAATGGCATATAGAATGGTGAAAGTTTTCAATTTACTTTGCCCAGATCTGTCAAAGGAATCACTCTCTATGGCAGCTATAGGCTTACAAAATGTATGTTTTAAATCATAAGACTTAAAAGTCAAAATTACTCTGTGATCTATGGGCTACAGACTGGATGTTGTGTTAGCAGTCATGAAAACAATATTCATCTCCTTGTACATCTCCATCAGAGCTCTTGGATGACCACGTGAATTGTCAATGAGAAGTAATATTTTGTAAAAAATCTTTTTTTCTGAGCAGTAGGTCTCAACAGTGGGCTTAAAATGTTCAGTAAATCATGCTATAAACAGAAGTGCTGTCATCCAGGCTTTGTTTTTCCATTTCTAGAGTGCAGACAGAGTAGATTTAGCATAATTCTTATGGTTCCTAGGATTTTTAAAATGGTCAATGAGCATTGGCTTTAGCTTAAAGTTACCAGCTGCATTAATCCCTAACAAGAGAGTCAGTTTTTTGAATCTTTGAAGCCAGACATTGACTTCTTCTTTCTAGCTATGAAAGTCGTAAATGACACCTTCTTTCAACAGAGGACTATTTCATCTACATCAAAATCTGTTGTTTACTGTAGCCACCTTCACCAATTATTTTAGCTAGGTCATTTTGATAACTTGAGCTGCTTCTTCATCAGCACTTGCTGCTTCCTTGCACTTTTATGTTACGGAGGTAACTTCTTTCCTTAAATCTCATGAACCTCCCTCTGCTAGCTTCCAACTTTTCTTCTGCAGCTTCCTTACCTCTCTCAGCATTCACAGAATTAAAGAGAGTTAGAGACTTACTGTGCATTAGGCTTTGGCTTAAGGGAATATTGTGGCTGGTTTGGTCTTTTATCCAGATGACTAAAACTTTCTCCAAATCAGCAATGAGGCTGTTTCACTTTCTTGTCATTCATGAGTTCACTGGAGTAGCATTTTTCATTCTCTTCAAGAGTTTTTTCTTTGAATTCACAACTTGGCTAACTGTTTGTGCAAGAGGCCTAGCTTTCAGCCTATCTCAGCTTGTGGCATGTCTTCCTAACTAAGCTTAATTATTTCTAGTTTTGATTTAAAGTGAGAGACGTGTAACTCTTCCTTTTACTTGAACACTTAGAGGCCCATATTGGAGTTCTTAATTGGCCTAATTTGAATATTCTTGTTTCAAATTAGGGAACAAGGAGGCCTGAGGAGAAAGAGAGAGATGGGGAGTGGCCAATTGATGGAGTAGTCAGAGTGCATAAAACATTTATTAATTAAGTTTGCTGTCTTATATGGACATGGTTCATGGCACCCCAAAAATAATTACAATAGTAACATCAAAGATCACTGATCACATATCACCATAACAGATATAAAAACAATGAAAAAATTTGAAATATTGTGAGAATTACCAAAATATGTCTCAGAGACATGAAGTGAGCACATGATGTTGGAAAAATAACACCAGTAGACTTGCTTGACACAGGGTTGACACGAATCTTCAATTTGTAAAAAAACACAACATCTGTGAAGCATAATAAAGTGAACAGAAATCAAATGATGTATGCCTGTACTAATAAACATCAACTGTGTGATCCTTGTTTAATAAATAGGCATTTTCTTCTTTTTTGTCATCAAAGTTAAGTTGGTATCAATTTTAAATAACTTGTTGTAACTATAGAATTTTTTTTGTAAGCCATCTGGTAACTACAAAGCAAAATCTATAAAAGATAACACTAAAAATAAAAAGCAGTAAATTAAAGTATAGTACCAGAGAAAGTCACTTAATCACAAAAGAAGACAGTAAGGAAGAAAGGAAGAAAGAAGTTACAAAACAAATAGAATATAAGTAACAAAATAGCAATAGTAAGTCCTTACCTATCGATAATAACATTAAATTTAAATGGATTAAATTCTCCAATAAAAAGAAACAGAATGGCTGAAGAGATTAGAATACAAGACCCAACTATGTGTGCTGCCTACAAGAAACTCACTTCACCTATAAGGCACACATAGACTGAAAGCGAAGAGATGAAAAAAGGTATTCCATGCAAACAGAAACCAAAAAAGAAGAGGAGTATCTATACATATATCAAATAAAATAGACTTTAAGACAAAAACTGTAAAAAGATGCAAAGAAGATCATTATGTAATGATAAAGGGGTCAATTTAGCAAGAGGATATAACAATAGTAAATATATACACACCCAACATGAGTGTGCCCTCATATATAAAGCAACTGTTTATAGATCTAAAGGGAGAGATAGAACGTAATACAACAATAGGAGGAGACTTCAATACCCCACTTTCAGCAATGGACAGATCATCCAGGCAGAAAATATATAAAGAAACAGCAGACTTAAACTATAGTCTGGACTAAATGGACCTAAAGAGCATTTACAGAACCTTTCATTTATCTGCTGCAGAATAAACGTTCTTCTCGTCACCACATAGAACGTTCTCCAGGATAGACCATGTGTTAGGCCACAAAACAAGTCTGAAGAAATTTCAAAAAGTCAAAATTATATCAAGTGGCTTTTCTTGAATGCAATGGAATAAAACTAGAAATCAGTAAGAACAGAAAATTTGGAAGTTACAAACACATATAAATTAAATAACATGCTGTTGAACACCACTCTGGTACAGAGTGTTGCATATTGTTAATGGAGTGAATGTTTTTTCAAGTTGGGAGATGAAAGACATGAAATGTAGGTGTCAGTTTTTTTCCCAATCAATGTATGTTATGCAATTGATACGTGTGTGCTGCAGTGCATCAATTACCATGAGACACTCTCACAGTGAGCCTGTTGACTACGTGCCTGACCGGTCTCGTCCTGCCTTCCTTCCAGTTTTACGGGAGCCCTATACAGTCCGTGTGGAGGACCAGAAAACCATGAGAGGCAATGTTGCGGTCTTCAAGTGCATTATCCCCTCCTCGGTGGAGGCGTACATCACTGTCGTCTCATGGGAGAAAGACACTGTTTCACTTGTCTCAGGTAGGCTTTGCGTCTCCGGGTTGCAGGTACTGGGCTTACCTTCTGAAAAGGTGATCTCAGAGATGGAACTGGGTCTCCATTTCTGTGTTCATTGTCATTACGAATTAGTATCCTTCAGGTTGATGCTGTTTTATAAATAAACTTGATATAAGGGTTTTATGTTGGTTTATGATGGCTCGATTCAGATATTCTTGGCGAATGGATTGCTGGGTGGATATTCGTTACTCCCACAATAAGCATAGCCATTATGTTAACTTTTATGAGGAAATTGTGGTTTTATTTCTGCCTCTAAAAACAAAGTAGTAGTATTGTGCGTCTGTGAGAGACCTCAGTGATACAGGCATGACTGATATTCTGAAACCAAAACCTGGAGAATGGGAGCCCTGATTCCATGCTCTTTTAGCCCTTTCGAATGTGCTTAAGAGATATACTGTATCTCTGACCTCTTAAGAGATATACTGTATCTCTGACCTCTTTCTTGAAGATTCTATGAAGAATATATATTCAGCACTGAAATATATATTTGCATATGAGTATGTCTTGGCTTATATTTGGTGCCCAGAAAAGACAAAATTTAAACTTAGCTTCTAAGAAATGGCGGCTCTTTATTTCTAATGGTATTGATATTTAAGTTGATTTCTCGCTCTGCACTATTCACCTGGAAAGGCCACCGTCAGCGTGGTGCTTGGTTTTGCTGTTTTACACGTCCTTGGATAATGACTGTTGGCATATCTGAAAAGGTGTTGGATGCTTTTGGAAAAGAATGGTGATGAGCATAGTCTGTGTTCTAATGTGGATTAGAAATAGTTGCTTTTCTTTATATGTCTTTATGTACTCTTGTGTGAGCATGGACACACACACAACATGCATTTTAATGTAATTCTTGACTAAGCAACCTTTTATCAATTTATAGAGAGAAGAATTCGGAACCAAACGTTCATGGTGACATACGGTTTTTGTTTTTCAGCGTATTCATTAGCTAGAGAGTATAGCTTACTGTACATCAAAGACTAGAAGCCAATTTAAAAGATCCAAATCAAAAGTGAAATATTTTGTCATTAAAGGCGTTAAAGGAATCTAGAGTGTAGTGGAAGTTTTTAGGTTTTTTTTCTTAATATTGTCTTTACAGTGAATTCAAAACCCCTCATGCTTCAATGAACAATAAATTCCTTGCTGTTATGTTGATTAATCTTCATAACTTGATAACTTAGGGTATTGAAAAATACTAAGCTTAAGAACTGAAATATGATTGTAACAATCAGAATAGAGATTTACCTGTACACATTTATTTGCTAAATTTCAAAATTTCATGATCTTAATCTTCTTTCCTTAGGGGTCATTTTAGTTTTCTTAACGACAGGTGGAGAGATGTGATGACAATCATCTGGCTAAGCTCAGAATCAGAGGGGAACGGCCCTTAAACCCATATAGTGAGGGTGTGTGGATTCAGGGAGGGGATGAATTTGAGGCTCTATTTTCAATCTCTGAGACTCAAGAGCCCAAGCTGATGGAGGCTCCACCATCTTATAAAACTGCCATCCAAATTTACAGCCTAGGGGCTGCTCTGGCAGAGAAAGAGAGCACAGGGGAATTATAAGCTGCCTCTTAGTGCTTCGACTTAGAGCTGACACGTCATTTCTGTTCGTCTTTAATTGGCCAAAGCAAGTCCCTTGGCCATGTGTGACATCAGTGGGGCATGCGCGTGAAAGGAGAGAAGAACTGAAAACCTGGGTGGGGAATAGAAATATCTACCAGGAGGTTTTACGTATCTATGTGTGTCTATCTATCTGACATAAGATGTGTGTTCTGCTGTTTCCTAGACATCTGTAGTTAGTGGTTGACCCAAATGCAAGTTTCACCTTTTTGCAATCTATGTGACTAGACTTTATTTTCCTTCCAACATGAACTTTATTAAATAAAAAAAGGAATTTTATATCTGGTAAGTAGGGAGGATGCTAGCATGCAGAATATGGAATTTGTGTCTCGCTGGTAGGGAACCGTTAGCTCCCACATCCTTGCTCTAATCACGCATTGGAGCTTCATCTTTCGGTAACATTTTAAAAGCCACCACGTGTACTGTGGATAAGCACGTGGCTTCTCTTTCTTTGCGATGACATCTAGAAAACAAATGTAGCACAAGTGTTTATGTTATTGAGGAATACATTAATAACAAGCTTTTATTTGTTGGTAAGTAAGCCAGAGAGAGAGAGAAAGAGAAAGAGAGATTGAGATTTCATACTCAGGTAGTGCAACCTGAGTCTATTAAAGGTATAATTAAAAATGACCTTGTAAATGACAACAGGGCCCCAAATCAGTGTTATGATCTGCAAGCAGAAAGTGTGGAAACTAAGCCTTTTGACATGATTTGCTACTGCTCACTGCCACGGTTGGTCCCTGCTCCCAGCGCCTGAGCTCCACCCATCAAAACTGCCAGGGAGGGAGGTCAGGAAGTCACTGGAGGTGACAAATAATTAAAAACATTACATTGGGGATCTTAATAAATAAACCAGTTTCATATGGTTTAGGTGGAGAAGGATTATATTTCTCTTTGGCGGCCAGGACCAGGCACAGATAAGGATGGAGGTCGGCCTTCCTCGACCATCCGTGTGGGAGGGGTGTGTGTGTGTGTGTGTGTGTGTGTGTGTGTGTGTGTGTGTGTGTGGCTGAGAGGAGGAACCTGGGACCTCCCTTCTCCACTCTTGCTGGAGGAGCTGAGCTGCTGAAGGGAAGCGCTGGAGATCCTTGGCTTCAGCAGATGCACAGCACAGAGGCCTCAGGAATAGGGGAGATTTTTCTGAATTAGCACTGCATAAGCACTGAGCTCCAGGAAAGACGTCCTGACTGCTGTGGGCACAGCAGATGATCTGGAAGAGATAAATTTGTCTCTGCTTTGTAAATAAACCGATAGCCTCTGTGTCTCCTGTTGAGCTAGTTTAGAGTTATTCCTTAGTGTGGTCATCACTCAGCTCCCTCTTCCTGGGTTACGGAAGACATCTCTGCCTTCTTGAACCTGGCTGGGAAGTTTGTCCCAGGAAACATTCCAACTCTACACAGATCGCTTTCTTTAGTTGCGAATGCTCCCTGTGGAGAAGAGCTATTAACTAATTCAGCCATGAAAATAAGCTTGTGTAGGGATGCTACTGCAGTGAGTGGGGAGCTGGTGTCGGGTGCAGGGGAGCGGGGAGCTGATGGCAGGCGGAGCCAGTTAACAGACTACGGCCCTGCGCGGTGCCCACTGGGGCAGGGTGGGACTCTGCCTGCTCAGAGGTGGCCTGGCTTTCCTCCCTACCCCCCCCATACTTGGGTGCTCAGCCTGGAGGGTTGGGAGGACCCTCGGGGACGGCCAGAGCAGCAAAGACCTGCTTCAAATGGGTGAGCGAGGGTCTCTAGGCCAGGGACGCTGGGAATCTGGGCTAAGGGAAATGGATGTTTGTCTTCTACAGATTCTTTTTCAGGGAAAAACAAAATTAAAAATTTCGATGTTTTCCTATAAAAATAAACAAATGGTTTTTATTAGCATGTCTTACTAATTTTTGTCCTTTATCTTGGTTGAGAAAATGAATGACTGGGTTATAGCCTTGCAAGGGTGAGAAGCACCAGGGCAGTGTCTGTGTGGGCTCCACCGTGAGCCCTGAGCACCTGGTGGTGGTGGTGGCTTCCGTGAGCGTGTCACCGTCAGATCACGCACTCATTTCTTCCCAGACGGAGCTTCAGTCTGCCTGAATGTAGACTCAGGAATCAAGTTGTGCGCCTTCATCATATGAGGTCATGAGGTTACCAGTATCAAGGACGTAAATGAGCTCATTTATTTTCGGTGATCTTTGAAAAAATACTCCAACGGGCTGAAAGCAGGAACCCCATAGTTCCCCCAAAGGCAGAAAAGGTTCGCAGCGTCTGATGCTCCTTTGCTGCCTGCCTGGGCTCTTCCCACGCGGTTAACACTCACCCTCAGACTCTGCTGCGACGGGTGGCGGGTAAACCTGCAGAGCGAAAACGTTAGGGGACGGCACCACCCTGCCCCCGAACGTGCTCCATTAATGTGATGGATCCTGACCTATTGTCTTCTTACTTCACTAGAATGAGCAGGAAAAAACAAGAGCCAAGATGTTTATACGCATTTTTTACACATCCTTGTCCGTTCTCTTGCCTTAAGCCACAATGAAATCTTTTAAAATATCGGAATATTAACGCAGCCCAATAAAGCACAGTCGCTTGGGCAGCAGTGTGCTTTGGGGTCATTGCTGATGTTGAGATACGCGAGGCTCGTCCTGGAGAAGAACAATGACCCCAGCTGCCTCTCTGGGTTTCCCATGACAACCCGGTTGTGAATTTCTTCCCGATTAGGGAGGCCGCAACGAGAGAGCCCGGCATCCTGTTTCTGTTTCTTCTGATAAAATTGTGAGAATCTCACCAGGGGTTTAGCTACATTAACATCAAAGACACAGCCCAAGGGTAACCGGATTTGGAAAATGGAAAAAGCAAATATTTTACTATTCCCAGAGAAACTGCCTCCCGTTTAGCAGCAGCCCAATTTTCTGGTACAGTATTTCCTACCTGAGCACCTCTATGAGTGATGACTCAGGGAGAATTTTCTCTCTCAGGATCAATGAATGATCCAGGTCCAAGGATGATTATCTTCTTCCTGTGTTTTGAGTAACAGTGAACAATTTTCTGCCCATGTTAAATATCAAAGGACATACACCTGGCACTTTACATGACGCATTTGATGTAGGTCTTGGGGGCTGTAACTGTGTCTGGGCGCCCTAGATAACACGGGACCTAGTCTTTAAGAAGCAACCCCTGCCCAGAACCCTGCAGAGGTGGCTTCTGCCCTTCCGGAGCTAGGTGGGGGGGTTCCTGTGCTGTCACCATTGGTGTGTTACTGCTGTGCAGACACCTCCGCAAAGCACCCCAGACACATAGATGATGTTGCCTGGGGAAGGAGGGAAGGTTTCAGAAAAGATGTGGTTATTTAAGAAAATCTTTGTTCGAATTTTAGA